GAAAGCGACGTCGCTGGGTGTCGGGGACCGAAGGAGCCCCCCTGTGGGGGCCTCTGTGGAGTGAGGAGGTGCGAGCCGCGGGGGAGCGGGCAGGCGCGTTCCCGTGAGGATTTCGGGTTGGATTTGGAAGGCAGCAGGAAGAGGAGACCAAGGTGCTGCTGGCTCACTGGTGCAGCAGTTACAGGTAAACTGCTTCAGTCAGAAAGCCCCAATAACTGCCACCGAGACACCTCTGGTTCGCTTGTCTTAACTCTAATCTGTGAGCACCGGGGAGATTCCATTGACCTGGAGAACCCCAACAGCACCAGTTCCTGGAGAACTGACAGTACACCAGGTACTGGGGCTCCCGTCACTGCAGTGACAGGCGGGAGAACGGGGAGGGGGATGAGGAATTCCCGTCAAAGGGAGTGAGTATGGCTGATGCCAGCCAGCCTCACGCCGCAGAAGACAGCCTGGCAAGCCAATCTGCTGGAGTTGTTCGGTAGGGAAAAGGCTTCGCGCAGTGTTTGCACAGCACCGTGTGACCCGCTGAAGAAGCGCTGATCAGGTCCAGCACTGGGGGCACAGAAAATAGGAAAACGGGAATTCAGAAGAAATTAGGATCTGGTCTAGCGCTGCTACGTACCTTTCCGCCAGCGAGGAGGGAGTGGGCAGGAGACCAATCCCCCTGCCCGGTGGCACGGTAAATGAGGATCCACTTAAATGTGCCCAGCTCAGTTCTTGTTCGACTTTGAAGCTGTGGGCCTTGACCAGGCACTGAGAGCTCAGGAAGACTTCCCAGACACCCGAATCTAGAGAGCTGCCACTTTGCAGCCTTCAAAACTCCCAGAAGGACTTTGCAAGCTAGTTGCAACATCCCCTTTGTCAGGCCCAAGCTTTGCAAGAGGTTTCAGAGGCCAGAGCGTCAGTATGCACTTGTTCACATCACTGCTGGCTTCCTGCAGTCTGTATTTCTCCAGCCAGTTGCTTTTACAGTGTCAGTGGCAAATAAATCACATTCCTTTACCCCTCTCTGAATTTCCCATAAACCAAGGTTACAGATAGCATCACTTTCATGAAATGTATCGGTATGCAAACACTTGTTCTACTTCCTGAAAGATTTTTAAATACACAAGTAATAGTTTTTAAGATTTGAGATTCCTGGTGACCTTAAAAATTCACTCCTGGTTGTAGGACTGAGTAAGAAACTCTACACTCTATGTTCGCCTTTCCTGAAAGCCCTGCGGAGAAGGATGGGGGGGTACTGGTGGATGAAAAGTTGGACATGAGCCACCAATGTGCGCTCGCAGCCCAGAAGGCCAACCATATCCTGGGCTACATCCAAAGCAGTATGGCCAGCAGGTCGAGGGAGGTGATTCTGCCCCTCTGCTCCTCTCTGGTGAGAGCCCACCTGGAGTCCTGCATCCAGCTCTGGAGCCCTCACCCCAGGAAAGACATCGACCTGTTGGAGCGGGGCCAGAGGAGGCCACAACAATGATCAGAGGGCTGGATCGCCTCTCCTGTGGGGAAAGGCTGAGAGAGTTGGGGCTGTTCAGCCTGGAGAAGAGAAGGCTGCGGAGAGACCTTATTGCGGCCTTTCAATATTTAAAGGGGTCTTATAAGAAAGATGGAGAGAGACTTTTTAGCAGGGCCTGTAGTGACAGGACAAGTGGTAATGGCTTTAAACTGAAAGAGGGTAGGTTTAGATTGGACGTAAGGAAGAGATTTTTCACTATGAGGGTGGTGAGACATTGGAACAGGTTGCCCAGAGTAGTTGTGGACACCCCTTCATCAGAAGTGTTCAAGGCCAGGTTGGACGGGGCTTTGAGCAACCTGGTCTAGTGGAAGGTGTCCCTACCCATGGTGGAGGGGTTGGACTGGATGACGTTTAAAGGTCCCTTCCAACCCAAACCTTTCTGTGATTCTACGAAAGCTGTGCCTGGGAAGGAACAAGTGCAAGGATTAGGAGTCACAGTATGAGACCTCCCCATGGGGAAGCAGGGCCAGGCCCTGGGTTTCACCAGGTGTGATGCCAAGTGGTTGTGGGCATGCACCTCCTCTTCAGACCCCCACCTTTGGGTGGGAGTCCCTATCCCATTGAAGCCCCCAGTTTCCCCAAGCCTCCACTTTCCTGCCCCACATGTACAGCAGCACTGCTCCCCTCCAGAGAGGTAAGGCAAGCATCAGTGCTGTCCACCCCAACCTTTCTCTTTCCCC